GGTTGCAGGGAGAAGGGCAGAGAAACACAGGAAAGGCAATGTTCTTAATAGGAAGAACCCAGTCCTCAAAATCAGCCAGTGATCCAAGTCCTTGTTTCATCATGCACTAGTTGTGTAAACTTGTGCCAGTTATTTAAACATCTTGAGATTCAGTTTCCTAATTTGGGCAATAAAATAAAAATATTAATCAATATTAATCAGGGTTTTGAAATTCTGAGAATTAGAAGTGATATTTGTAAAGAGCCCACCTAGCAGTGTCTGGTTCAATGGTGTGATACTATTGTTTGGAAAATTCATTTTAATAGCTTCAGAATAACTTTACTGACCAATAAATCATGCAGCTAAATTATAAAATAGTTAATTGGCTAAATACATTTAATATAATAACCAATTTTGGAATTAAAGAACAAAATTTAAAACAAAGTAAATTTTAGTAAAAAAAGTAAAAAAGTAAATGCACATTACCTGGTAAGAAACTCTATAAAGACCAGGGAGAAAATGCTCTGGATTTAGCACTCTTCTTCCCAGTAGAGGTTAAAGATTCTACCATGAATTGGGCACCCAAATGAGTTCACACAGATAACGTAACAGAATATAATATAATATATAATAGAGTCCCTGAAGAAAGTTCCACTTATTCTATTGGGAATATATGTTTTTTGGGAGCAAACATCTGGGTGTTCTCTCCCACTTAGGAGAAGCAAAGAAAAGACATGAGCTAGATTTTGTTGTTGAAAATTAGTCAACCAAATATGTCTGGATTTATTTCTGGGCTCTCTGTTCTGTTCCATTGGTCTGTATCTGTTTTTATACCAGTCTCATACTTTCTGATTATCATAGCTCTGTAGTAGTTTTAAATCAGTGAGCATGATACCTTTAACTCTGTTCTTCTTTCTCAAGACTGCTTTGGCTACCCAGGGCCTTTTGTGGTTCCGCTGCATTTTCTATTTCTGTGAAAAGTGCCATTGCTAGTTTTGTTGATTTTTTTCTATTCTCTATTTGACTTATTTCTGCTTTGATCTTTATTATTTCCTTCCTTTTGATAACTTTAGTTTATTCTTCTTTTTTAATTCCTTCGGGTGTAAAGTTATGTTGTTTGAGATCTTTTTTAATGTAGGCATTTATCACTATAAACTTCCTATAGTACTGTTTTTGCTGCATTCCATAAGTTTTGGTAATTTATGTTTTTGTTTTCATTTGTCTTGAGATATTTTTAGATTCCCTTTTGATCCAGTGGTTGTTCAATAGCGTATTATTTAGTTTCCATGTATTTGTGAATTTTCCCATTTTCTTTCTGATTTCTAGCTTCATTCTGCTGTGGTCAAAAAGATGCATGGTATAATTTCTATTTTCTTAAATTTTATAAGGAGTTTTTCAGGACCTAACATGTGATCTATTATAGAGAATATTCCATGTGCACTTGAGAAGAATGTGTATTCTTCTGCTGATGGGTGAAAAAATGTATATGTCTGTTAGGTCCATTAGATCTGCAGTATTGTTTAAGTTCACTGTTTCTTTATCAATCTTTCTGCCTGGATGTCTATCCATATTGAATGTAGGTTGTTGAAGTCTTCTCCTATTACTGTATTGTTGTAAATTCCTCCTTTTAGATTTATCAATATTTGCTTTATGTACTAAGGTGTTTTAAAGTTGGATGCATATATATTTAAAATTGTTTTACATTACTGTTGAAGTGACCCTTTAATCATTATGCAATGAACTTCTTTGTCTCTAGAGACAGTTTTTGACTTAAAGTCCACTTTACCAACAAACTTCATACTTTATACTCTTGTGTTGCCATTTAGTGTCCTTTTATTTCTACTTGAAAAACTCCCTTTAACATATTAGGGAGCAACCAGAGAGAACTAATTCCAGCAGAATTCTTTTAAAAGGCAACTGGGACACAGGATACAAAATAATTCATTTCAATTTATTCATCAAAGAAAATGTGGCCAGCCACACTAATTCTTTAATATTGAATGTATTGAACTAAAGAAGAATTTAAAAGAAAAAAATCACAGTGAGGAGCTTGAGGATGGTGCCTATATAAAGCACTAGAGAAGCAGGTTGGAGTGTGAAGGCAAAATGGCCCTTAGCCCAGATCAGCAGAGCTTGCTTACTGTCCCTGAACCACATTCACATTAGCTGACATCAAACCACGGTGGGAACTTCCGTACGCCCCATCTGCTTCCCTGTACTCAGAAGAGAGTGCTAAAGTTCAGCTGCCTAAAGCTGCCTTATTCAAGGACAATGTGGCAGTTGCTGGAACCTCATAGCAGTGAAGCAAGGCCCAGCACTCTGCTGCACTCAAGTGCACTCAGGTTAAGGGAGGAGCTGCCCCACTACTTCTCAGCAGTAATTCCTTACAGTGAGAAACAAGTGGGGAAACAGGTCTGGGCTCTGCACAGAAGGAAAAGTCTTCACAGTGGCCTAAGGGCCAGTGTGAGGCTCAGGGTGTCCTATGAGTTGAACTGTGCCCCTAGCAAAAGATATGTTGAAGTCTCAAACCCCAATACCTCAGAGTGTGACCTTATTTGGAAATAGGGTCTTTACAGAGGCAATCAAGTTAAAATGAGATCATCAGGAGACCCTAATCCAATGAGACTGGTAACCTGATAAAAAGGGGAAACTTGGACACTGAGGGCGGATGATTTGAAGACACATCGGGAGGAGATGCTCTTGTGCCTAGAGCAATGCACATGCAAGGCAAGGAAGGCCACGGGTTGCTGGCCACCAGCAGAAGCTGGAAGAGGCAAGGAAAGATCCTCCCCTGGAGCTCTCAGAGAGAGCACGGCCCTGCCCACACCTTGGTTTTGGACTTGTAGCCTCCAGAACTGTGACAGGATAAATTTCTGTCATTTTAAGTCATCCAGTTTTTGGCATTTTGTTAGGGCAATACTAGGAAACTGACACAGGTGGGAAAAGAGCAGAGGATATTTGAACTATCCTTCTCCCTTTTTCCTGAAATGATCCATAAAACATAGCACAGCTTCTTCACCTACTCACCCCCTGCTTGCTTAACTCATGTGTAGGCTATAAAAACTTTCTCCTATTCACAGCTTTCAGGATAACCTCACTTACTCTGGGTCGCTGAGGGCTCTGCTCTTGGTCCACTTCTTGCCTAGTCATTGGGTCCTCACATTATTTCAATCATCTAGAATATCACTTGTACTGATGCTTCTTGTAGAAGCAGGATTGTATGTGCCCCATGTTCCATCTATTAAAATTCTACATCCACGTAATTTTGTCAGGCTGGAGTTTCCTCAGGAAGCCTTCTTCACCACTGTCAGCAAACAGAATTCTTCATTAGGTCCTCTGAATGAGCAGCTGCTTATGAAAGAAATTCTAGGCCGATAGGAGGGAGGAAAATGCTGCAAATGCAGACACTGAAGGTCATCTTGACATAATAAATCCATTTAGCAGGAACTTTATCTCAAAGGTTGGAGACTGAAACACACATACACACACACAATCCTCTTCTGTGTATCTAGTAACCATAAAAAATAGCAGGCACTGGACCAAACTTATCTTCTTTCCCCAGACGATCTCTTCTGGGCTTTCTAACCTGAAAAATGGTATTGCACTCTCCTGATTGGCTGGTCTTTGACAGAGCTGGGCTAGGATGAGGCCACAAGCTGCCTAGGATACAAAATTTAAAAAGGCACTCACTCTCAGGGTCAGACTTGGTCCTGAACTCCCACATGTAGTCAATCACCAATCCCAGTCCCATCCCCCTCCACGTCCTCTCTCTTAGTGGCTCCTCTGTGCACTGTGGGTACTTGGCATGCTGGGCTGGTATAAAGGATCAGGGACAGGTGAATATGTCCTTCCTATTCTCACTGTGGCTGCTTTAGTAAAAGCCTCATCATTTGTCACCTGTTTGTTGTTAGCTAGGGTGCAGCTGTCTTCTGTATTCTTCTAATCTCCAGTATTGTGCATCCCCAGTGCGACTCTCTGAGATCTAAAGAACAGAGCACAAACACCTCTGTATTCAAGTTTCTTGCTAGTGTGGGCTGGACCCACCCTTTCAGCCTTTACCTGGCACTACATTCCCACGCAGGCGCCTTACAGCCCAATTTAGCATGTTGCTCACTGTTCTCGGCATATACCATGCACCTTAGTTCATGTTCCTTCTTCACACTGGGATCTTCTCCCTCTGGGAAAAGCCAGATCAGAACCCAGCCCCAAAGTCACCTTTGTGGCTCTCGTCTTACATGGCAGCTCTTCTTTCATGCTGCCTCTTACTTAGTGAGCATCTCCACATGGCTGCATCCCATCTCCCCCATCTTGGCTGTTGGTACTGTGTCCAGTCAGTTTCCTGTGTGGCTGTCACATCACCTTGCACAGAACGGCAACTCCCTGAGTGCTTACTGAACCCAAGTCCAAAACTGATCAAAGGCAGTTACTTTTTGTAAGTAACTAGTCCTTTCTTCTTCCATTTTTAGTTGTCCCATGACTATTACTTTCATCCATTTCTGCCTCATCATCTTTGATTCTGACTTAGTGAAATAACACAGGCAACTGGGCTTCTGCAGAAAGTGGTGAGCAATTGTTAGAAGACTTAGCTTGGTGAGGGCAGGCATCATTGTCTCTCTTATTCACAGCTCTGTTCTCAGTGCTTGGCACATAGTAGGTGCTCAATAATAATTACCAAAAGCGTGAGTTCACAGCAATTATAATTGTTTTATGCCACTGTTGTGTTGAATACTATTATAAAAAGTTTGTGGAGGATTTATAGCACTTTCAAGTGTTTTTAAAACTAAATTATCTGCATCAACCCCACAGAGTACAATATGAAGAGCATTTTCCAGTTTTACTAGTCTTTAGTGATTTCTGTTAATAACCCAAGTCATATACTAGGTTAAAGTTGGACTATGTGGTCCTGGAAACAGAAGTAGAGCGAGCACTTGTTCTCAGCCTTCCCAGCATGTCCATAGGAGATTGTTATTTCTTAAGAGCTTCTGCATTTTCTGGTAAGATCATGAGAAGAGAGGGAGAAGTTTCTACATTTAGTAACATTTATTTATGCATTCATTATCAAGTACATAAGTGCAAATATCCAGAGTCCATAATTAAATCCATTAGAACTACAGAGAAAGTAATACAAATTGTAACAAAGTTAACATGCTGGTACTTTTTAGTTACCATACATGTAAATCAGCCCATCAGTTTCACACAACAAAAGTACTGCGTGTTTGTTTTGGGTTTATTCATTTATTTAATTATTTTAAGTTATACAAAACTGACTATCCTAAGTACGGTCGACTTGTTTTTATTTTTATGTTGTGTGTGTTGGAAAAACACTTAACCATTGGTCTACAAGTCTATATATTGTTATTAAAGATTAATCCAACCAGCAACCCAAGGACATATAAGCAGTTTCCACTATTGCATCAGCGCACTGGGCAGGAAAGGCCTAGCCACAGGGAACATGAGAAGCTACAGAGGCATTGCAGAGAAGAACATCGACGAAGGAAAGATAGCTTGGGCTCTCACCATCATGCACTTTTTTTAGCAACACAAAATTAAAAACCACATCTAATACACTTTTCTCTATACTTTAGTGCTTGACACAAGGGACTCAAATATCCTAAGAGTACAGGAACAGCCTAAAAACAGCTGTTTTAAAGTTTGTCTCTAAGATTATGGTACTGGGGAGAGAAACAATCGATTTGCAGTAACACGTAAGACAGAGCTGTTACCACTTCAGACATTCCATTGGTGTCCAGTCCCTGGTGGGGTACTGACTTACTCAGCGTGCCTTTTAGCGCCTGGGATTTTAGCCTGAATCCTAAAAAGACAATATAAGAAGAAGGTGGTAAATCACAAGTGTTATTAACAAAAGCATTTTATGACTTCTTTATGTGTTGCTGCTTTAGTCAGCTAAGTGACCAAGTAGCTTAATATTCTAAAAGATATTATAATTTTAAGCATGAGTGTTTTCTAAACACATTTCAATGCAGCAATAAGAAGAAAGTGTAAATTAGATAATGAATGACCCAAGGAAGCCACATTCCTTAAATCGTAACTTTTCAGGTAGACAAAGGTGTCGATTTATTTCACGATTTCAGAAGTTGTGGCGTAGTCAGTTTATGATCCGATGTGGGACACTTCTGAAAGAGAAGGAGGGTTACTAACTATGCCAGGACAATCAGCATATCAGCATATCAGGGATGGTTCCAGGAAAAGGAACATAGGGTCACCCTAAACATAAACTACCTAGAACTGGAATCAAGAAACCTGAGTCCTAGTTTCAGCTCTCTACTAATTAGCTGTGTGACACAGGCCAGCTAATGAGCTTCCCTGGTCCTAGAGCAAATTAGATCTCTCCAATGCCCCTAACTTTCTGTGATTCTCTCAGTATGGCAGTATTACTTTATGGTAGGTTTATACTGGAAGCATTTTGATCTGTTAAATCAAAGCTTTCTGATCTTCTTATGCAGTTTGGTTGAGACCTTCCTCTGTACCAGGTACCCTTGTAGGTGCTGGAATTCAGTGAACAGAAAGGAGAAAGTCCTGCTCTCATGGAGCTTTCATTCTCAGAGAGGCTGAAGAGGCAGAAATAAACACGTAGGGAAACAAGAGAAGTACATATGGTGATAAATGCTATTTTAAAAAAAAACAGATGGAATGATAAGGCAGTGAGGGGACAGCAGTAGTAAGGTCGGAGTTGCCTACTTTAAATCCACTGATGCGAGAAACAGATGCCCAAAGGCAGAGAAGGGGTCTCAAGGCAAACACCAGAGTGCGAAGTGTTTCAGGAAGAGGAAGCAGGGAGTGCAAAGGCCATAAAGTGAGGACAAGCCTAGGAGGCAAGGAGAGTAGAGGCCAATATGCTTGGGAAGTCAGGAGGGGAGGTCTGACAGGCAGGCAGTAACTAGATGGCGCTGGAACTTGTGGGTAGTGGGAAGGAATTTAGATTCTATTCTGTGTGATGGAAAGTCATTGACAAATTTTAGGCAAAGGAATGAAGAGATCAAAGAAGACCATGAAGGTGGTTATGTGAAAAAAGTAGAGAAACCGAAGTGAGAGCAATTACGGATGGAAGAAAAGGATGGAAGTCCAGGTGCCAGATGGCAATGGCCTGGGTTATATGGAAATGGATCCTTGGAAATGGAGCAAAGTGAACACTCTGGGGATCTAGTTTGGAGGTGCAGATGGCAAGACCCATCTGACATGTTGATGGACTGAGTGTGCGACCAAGGGGAAGATGGAGAGTAATCAAGGAAGATTCTTTGGTTTTTGGTCTGAGCAAACAGGTGAATGATAATGCCATTTACCAAGATGGTGATAACAGAAGGAAAAACAAAATCTGGGCTGAAATTGCAAGATCTGTTTGGCCATGTTGAATCTGAAATGTATATGAGATCTGAGAGAAAACATCAGATAATCAGATGAATAGATCTGGCACTCAGTAAACCTTTTGATTTAGACTTTATACCTCTATTAATAAACATCTAGACTTTCATTGACTTAAAAAAATGTCTCAGGCACATCACTGACTTATATTTGGCTGTGACCAATTAAAATCTTCCAGGTATTTCTGTTGTATCCTATCTCATTTCCATCTGCCCCTCTTCCCATTCTATACTTGTAAAGCTGACTTTTTAAAAACTTAAACTTGTGGAGACACAAGTTGTGGAGTCCTTCACATAGAGATAACCTTTGAGGCCACAGGACTGGATGAAAGGGAACCAGAGAAGGAGGAGCCAAGAGAAGACACTGGGAGAAAGGAGCTGAGGCTCCAGCAGTTTAAGTATTCAAGAAGAGTGTTTAACAGAGATAGCAGTGGTCATAAAGTGTGTCTGAGAGGTTGAGTGGGATGAGGATGGAGTGATGACTGTAGGATTTGGCAATAGGGAGGTCACTGGGACCCTGACAAAGAGCAACTTCAATGCTCAGGGTGAAGGCCTGATTGAAGTGAGGTAGGGGGGAAAGAAAACAGAGATAGCAACAGGAGATTGGAGAAATTATGACTGTGGAATAAGCCTGTAGAGGCAGAAATTGACATCGCAGCAGAGAGGGAGGGAGTGAAACATTTCAACAGAGTCACTTTAGGTCTGTCTTCTCAAAAGTTTAACTTTTTTTTTCTTTTTTAGTTTTGAAATACTTTAGAGTATTATGGTAGACCAGGTATTAACTAATTCTACTTTTCTCGCATTGCAGAAGTCCTTTTTACCACACCCGTGACAGTGCCAACTAAGTTTTACATGAATAGCTGAATGAACGTCAGGGAGCTCACGGTTTCACGGGGCGAACGGTTTCACTGTTGAGCAACTCTCACTGCTACTGTTTTCCCTCATGTTCCATCCAAATCTCACAACTTCTGGACTTTCCACTCATAGCTCTTTAGAGAAAAAGGGAAAGACTACTTCTTTCACAATGTTAGACCTCCAAATATTTGGGGATAGCTACTGTGTTCTTTTAAAGTTATCTCTTTTCTGATGTAACCATCCCCAGAGAAGTCTGGCTGTCACGATAATCACTGTCGGATTTCCTATACTTCAATACCTGGTCATCTTTCTGACATCACTCCAGAGTATAACTGCATCTCTTAAAATGTTCAACTCTGAAACTGAACATCGATATGGAATGATCAATATGGAATATGAAACAACTCTGGTCTCTTTTGATTTAGACTTTATACTTCTATTAATAACATCTAAACTTGTATTGATTTTTAAAAATATGCCTCAGTACATTATTGACTCGTATCTGGCTGTGACCAATTAATCAATTAACCCCCCCCCAGGTATTTTTCACACACAGCACTGTTGTATCCTATCTCATCTGCCCCTCCTCCTGTTTTATATTGGCTAAATTGACTTTTTAAAAACCTAAATGTAGGACTTTGCTTTCAATGTTACTTTCACTTAAGTAATTTCAGTTCAGCATGCGTGCCTACTCAAGATCACTTGATTCATTTTGAATCTTGAACTTGCCATCTTCTGGTTTTGCTTTTGCTCCAAGCTGTGTGTCATCTAGAACTCTGATGAGCGTATTTGATTATTTGATTTGTCTTCACATAGTCATGTGAAGCACTGGGATGGAAAGTCATGGAGTCAAGGGCAGGGCCCTTTGTCACATCACTACACCTCGCCCTGGACAGATATTTGATGGATTAATTAACATGCGTAGGGTCTAGTATTTCAATTTTTTAGAACTCTACCAACCGTGCTGGTACCACCTGGACTACATGTCTCCATTTTCTCCTCAAGGACACCAAGAAGACTTGTCAGTACCCAACTGAAATTCAAATTCTCACTGGCTAGAGGAGGCTGTATGATCCCTCAGTTTAGTGATCATAGAATGATCTAAATATTTACCTACATTTTACTAGTTCATTCTGGAACTTTGCTTGAAGGTAGGCATTCAATTCATCAAAAGATAATTTTTAGAATCTATTCTTCTTATTTGAAAATCAGGACAGCTTCAGTTTTCAGGATGTCCTTCATTCTCCAAGATTTATTACAGATCACCAAGAGAGCTTCCAGCTTAAAACTGTAGGCTATTTTACCATCCTAGAATATAACTCACCTGGACATGGAGAGTTGTATTCACCTGAGGCATATTCTTATGAGGTTTTAAGTTGTTCAAAGCTTTAATAGCCTCTATAATATTTATTTTCTTTTTAAAAAATTTGTCACCCTTTTCCCTTATTTTCAAAACCTTAAGAAGTGTTATTAGGTGTTACTAATCCCATTTTAGAGCTGGAAAACTGAAACACAGAAAGGTTAAATGACCTGGACAGGATCATTCATTCCCTCAGCACAGAGGAGGGAGGAGTACCAAGGTCTCCTGATCCAGTCTGGGACTGTCCCCCACACCTCCCCCAAATGCCAAACTGATCTCTAAATAGTAGGAGGAGGGTAACCATGATTATGACCATCTAACATTTATGGAGTGCTTCCTAGTCCAAGTAAGAGTAGTTTACAGATATATCTTTTCAATGTACAGCTAAGAAAATGGGCTCAAAGAGTCAAAGGGCACTGATGATAATAACCTCATATAGCTAAAAATGCCAGACATGAACTCAAACTCATCTATCTGAATCCAAAGATCATGTTCTTAATTGTTTCACTAAAATGGTGTGAGTTCTTTTGCTGGAATTATTCTAACATGGAATCAGAATTTCAGAGGTTGAAGGAGCCTTAGAGGTAAGATCCCACCAGGAAATCTTCCTCCAAATTTAGTGTCAGACAAAACAGATTCTCTTGAAGAATTGTTTCCTCCTTTCTGGTAACAAGAACTATGTAACTTACCCAGTTTCTCTTTCTGTTCTAGATACCAGGAAGCTCAGAGCCAAATCTGACTGAAGCTCAATTACAGAAACCATATTAGCCCTTGTGGTGAATGTGTTTCCTTTATACTCCTTTTCACAGCCTTGATTTCCAATTTTAATTTAACCAACTATATTGTATACATACATTCATGCATTGTATTCCTCTTCTGTCTCTCCTTTCCCTCCATTTTAATAGGCCTATACCCTCATAACTTTTGTTTGAATTATGACAGCTTCCTTGCTGATCACCACATCTCCACTTTCCTCTCCATTTCTCCTCCCACTAGACCATCACAGTAACCTGTGCAAAACACAAGCCTGATTATATCAATCTCCTGTGTAAAAACATCAAGAGCTGGCTATTTCCTGTTGGGTCAGAGGCATAACTCCTTAGAGCATTCAATACTTGACCTCAGCCTCTTTCTAGACCCTTTCTAATTGATCTTTCCACCCATTTAAGCTTTAGACACACTGGCTGACTCACTGCTTACTGAACTTGATCTACTTTTTCATGCCTTCTCTGCCTATATTATTTCTTCTCACGGTGCCTTTCCCCTCATCATCCACCTGATGAATGTTTACCCATCCTTCAGGGCTGCTATAGACTGAATATTTGTGTCCCCCTCCCCCCAAAATTCATATGTTGAAATCTAACTCCCCAATGTGTTGGTATTAGGAGGTGGGGCCTTTAGGAGGATGCAGCCTTCACGAATGGGATTGGTGCCATATACGAAAAGACTCCATACTTCAGTAAAAAGAGAGAGAAAGAGACCCCAGAGAGTTTCCTTCCATTTCTGCCATGTGAGGACACAGCAAGACATCTGCACCAGAACCCAACCATGCTGGATTGTCATCTCAGACTTCCAGCCTCTAGAACTATGAGAAATAAATTTCTGTTGTTTATAAGCCAACCAGTCTGTGGTAGTTTATTATAGCAGCCCAAACCGACTAAGGCAAGGGCCCTCATTATAGTGGCTTTCCATTATCCTCTCCAGGTAGGAGCAGTGGTTTCCTTAGCTCTCTCACCTTAGTACTTTATACAACTCCGCTGTCGTTCTGATACTGTCTTATAGATATTCCTTTACAGTTTGGTCTGCACCCATCGTCTGAGAGCTCTCCTAGGGTGGGATCATCTTATTCATCTTTTTATTCTCTGTGCCTGTTACATGAAGTACCCAAGACATAATAGGTATGTCTCCTAGAAGCAACCAACCAATCAATCAAATAAAAAATTAAGAGATGTGATTTGTTGAAGATCCTCAAACTAACTATTGGACAACTGATGACCAGAACTTCCATCTTCCAGTTTCCAAGCTCCTATTCTGGGGTACTTTGTTGTGGTTCCTGAACACAGTTCTAACTGCCAAAAAGGCACCTAGGGAGTTCATTAAAATACAGATCCCAGTTCCTTTATTCTAGAAATTCTACTTGTGTAAGTCTGTTGTACAGTTTGGGAATTCATATTTTTAATAAGTTCCCCAGGTTCTGGCAACCACCAAGTTTCATGCTATATACCATGCTGCCATTTTTCAACACAAATGAGTATTTACCTTCAGTTTATTGACTTTCATTAGGTATTAGCTACATTTGTGTCCAAGCTTATAATATCAGGCATTTTGAAATGTGCTGTAGATATGATACAGATCCAAAATCACCGTGAATTCAAGAGGAAGAATATAAACAATACACAGTAAAATCCAAAAACGTTACATACTTCAGAAGAGAACTATAATTGATGACATGCAAGTCAAATAGCAGAGAAAATTCAGCTGGTTTTTTTTTCCTTTTTTGTTCTGTTTTATACAGCTTTGACTATCTAAAGTACTTCCCTTTAATTCTGACTATCACCTAGGTCCAGCCACATGATTCTAAGATTACTGGAGAGAGTTCATGTCGACAAATTCTAGTCTTTTTGTGACATGTTTGTGTAGTTGAAGCCTAGGTCTGCTTTTGATTAAAACAAAATCTTGAGTAATAGTGACAAAATAAAAACCATCTTTTTAGATGAAGACAAATCTAAAAACAATAATTTAAGAATTAAGGAAAACTACTAAGTTTAATGATTTTATGAACTGTAGTTACTTATAACTGAAATCTTTATCTCCTAATACATAGCCTATTTAGACTCAGGTTTAAAAAGCAATGGTGTTAATTATATAAGCAAACACACACTTGTTGAGTTGAAATAGTGTAATTTAAAATGTAACAAAAGTTTCAAAGATGAAAAAATATTTTCAGTTTTAAAAATAATTTCAATGATTCAAAAATTAGAGATATTTATTGTTTAAAATATTGAAAATGTTTGTTAACTTATTTTTATTTCAATTAAACTGTTATAAATTAATTTTACTTTTCTAAACCAGGTTTTCTTCTTTCCTCCAACCCATCTTCTTCTTAGAAGTGAGCCAGTCCCCAAACAGAGCTTAATACCATTCATTCACTAAAACTCATTTATCATGATACCTGAAATTAACCACTGAAAGTTTTGTTTAATTTGGGAGTTTTAAAATTTATACTTATTTTCTGAAATAATATAATTGGGATGGGTGTGAATGATCATAAATCAACCTATTATTTTATTATCCTTTTATTACTCCTACCTAATCCACTCAAATGCCTACCTTAGACAATCCCTTCTTTTTAAGAATTGCACTATGTAACTTACTTTGCCACAACAGCATTTATGTGAGTCCTCACAAGTCCCAGATATTGGTCAATCTGTGCCTACAAAGAGGAAGAAATCATGAGCACATCCAAAGTTCACCAGATCAAAATTTAACATGAATGCTTGACGCTACATAGAACTTACCTGGTGCTTAACATACACTACAGGTAGAGTAAACATTGAAACCACAGCTGGGATGAAAAACAAATATAGTATTAAAATTCTGAGAGTAAGAATAAGCTTACAGATACATTTTTATATAGCTATGTATATTATAGCACTATCTATGGCAACCAATAGTCTAGCTAAAAGATGGCAGGGCAGGTCGCAAGGAAAACAAAAACATGCTGAGAACTTAACGAATATTAAGTCATTATTCCTGGAATGAGGGTACACTGTGTCCTCCTAAGATAAAAATGAATTTCTATACATGACTGCCATTGAAGCAGATATGTATTTGAAGCCAAAAAAACCAGTTGTGGTTGGAAAAAAAACCCTTCAGACTAAGAAATACATTGTCATTGCATAATATATATTATACTCTATAGCTGAACTATGATGGTCAAGGAAGTTCTCTGCACTCAGAGAATCTGGCATTTGTTGCTAAGAATCCATCCAAGCAAGCTAACAGCTAACAGCCTAGGAAACTTTATGCTCACAGAGTGTGTGAGAGAAGACGTAACACACTCGTCTCTCCTTACCCATGAGCAGCAGGGTCAGGCCATTGAAGAGAGCGCCAACGTAAGTCAGGAGCCACATCAGGACCGCAAACTGAGGAATAAAATGATGATCAGTGCTCTAAAACCATTGTGACAGATAGGAGTCTCATTTCATTGAGTTCTTTAGATTAAAACTTGAGGTAACTACATCATGGTTTCAATAGGAAATGTAAGAGCATATAAAGCTCATTACAGAATAAGTGAAGGAAGATCTAGTCTTCACTTCTCACAGAACGCTTTGGATTTCTTGATTGCTTTGTTGTCAGATCTGAGGGATTTGATGAAATAATAATCTAGTGTAGGGTCATCAAACTGGCCCTTGACCTCTTTTTTGTAGGGCCCATGAGTTAAAAATGGATTTTGAAATGGTCAATTAAAATCAAAACAAGAATAACATTTTGTGATATGAGAAAATGACAAAATTCAATTTTCAGTGTTCATGAACAATGTTTTACTAGCCCACAGCCACCGTCATTCATTTATGTAATGTCTTTGGCTGCTTTCCTGCTATAATGGCAGAAATGAGTAGCCACAACACGGACCACATAGCCTGCAAAGCCTAAAATACCTACTATACAACCCTTTACAGATAAAGTTTGTTGATCCCATTCTGGCCCACAATTTTTACACTACAAATATAAACAGAAATGTCGCCTTAAGAGCCCTAAGGTAAGTAATTGTAATCTCCCTGCTGTCTCCTCTAGTTATTACTCGCCAAGATATTATTACAAGTAAAGCAGCTTGAGGGTCAAGGTCTCATCACTTTCTTTCTGCTCTTTCTTCCTCAGTTACAGAGCAACCCATGGTATATCCACCTGCCCTATGTGTACAAAGGACTCCGGGAGAACAAAGAACTCACAACAACCTTGCCTGGACTTCCCACACCTCTGCTCATGGCCTGCTGAATCACGACTGATGACTTTGGTTTTACATGTAAACCACAGGGCGCTCATAGCAGCTTGGTCCCAGAATCCTGGTGAATTCAGTGAGAGCACCAGGAATAACACCCAGATGCCCAAGGTCCTCTACCCTTTGGGGGCTCCACTGCACAGCCCACATGTCTTGTCCTTACGGAGAGTCTGGCATTTCTTTCCAAGAAAAAGTATATATATTTTTCACATTCCCTAGATTTTTATTTTAAAATTAATTTTAGGAAACTGACTGAGGAATTGAAAATGGTAAGGAGAAACAATCTGATGTGTTGTAAGAAGTATAGAACTAGAAGCTGTGTGACCTGGGATTGATCTCAACTCTGTCAGTGACTCACTGCGCAATCTCAGGCAAGTGTCTCAACCTCTCTGAGCCATAGTTCCATTATCTGTAAAATGAGGGGATTAGACTGGAAAAGCTCCATGATACTGTACAGCTGAAGGTTTCCTGACTCTAGAATATAATTAGCATTAGTTTTTTGTTTGTTTGTTTGTTTGTTTTTTAATTCTTCACCATGTGGTAGTTTGTAACATTGTACCTTTAGGGAAAAAAACTCAAGACTGTCAAATGGAATGGTTTAAGCAATCGTACTTTTAAGGAATCCACCAGGTCCTGAACGAGAAAAAGCCTCCTCAGTTCTTTAAGTGTGTTGTTCACGTAGAATTGCAGGCAGTCTGTGTACTTCTGAATCTGCTCCTGAGACAGGGTGATCTCGAGCTCCAAGTAGGCCCTGTCGACAAAACATCCCCACAGAGAACTCCATCAGAGGGAATTATGAAACAGCTAAAAGTTTTCCTTTTCCAACTCTGAGGATGACAGCCAGGTCATCCTGAAGGATTTATACCAGCCAGAGGTTGCAGGGCACCACACACACATGCAGCCAGTGCACTGGGGAACACGGGAGTCATGGAACTTCAGTGGGACACTGTGACTGCTTCTGTCTCCCATAGGCAGCATTATAGTGTGAGCTGATAATTCAGAGCAACTGGCTGGGAGCAGAGAAAAGTCAGTCCAAGATCAGCTCATTTGCTGAATTCTCTGTATACCTCTGGCCCACCAGGCAATTGTGAAAGTCCTCATTTCTTATTGGCTGCATGAAGATGAACTGTCTTTTTAAATAACTGAGACATCTGAAAATCCTAGCTGCCAATTATTATTTGTCATCAAAACTCTAAGATTTCATGCTTAAATTCTGGAAAGTACTTTCAGGGTTTTCTAGAGAGCTCTGAAAACCTAAGTGACCTGGGCCATATTAAAATGCTCGCTGGTTCTAGTAAGAGTGGCAATTCTAGTTTCCATTTGTTTAAATGGTTAAATGAACTCTTGAGTAGATAAACCAGGCTCCTCAAATATATAGAAACCAATCTATCCTCCTGTTTTGCTCTCCCTCCTCCAAGAGGCCATCCTCTCTCTTTTCTTCCCTCCTTCTGCCATGTTGTCTACTTAGAGGATACTTCTAGACTACTTACAGAGCTCACTTAACTCTGAGAATTGATAGGAAAAGAGTAAAGTGAATTTGGCTTGAGTTTTAGGGAGTTTATGTTTAACTGTTTGGCTTTTTAGAAAAACAATGGAAAAATACTGATTTGCCTAGATGATATGTTTTGAATCAAAATGTACTCTCAGATGTTCCTTTTACTGATAAAAACAATTCAGCCAAAGGAAAGTTTTACATTTTAAATTTGTCTCCTAATGGAAGATAAAAGTAGTTGAGCTAATTGTAGTTAGACTCTTGGCCTTACAACTGGGTAGTTACAGAAGAAAACAAGCCAAATGAGAGTTAAGTCCTCAGTGTAACTTGACAGCCTTGGGTCCAAGAACGTGGGAGAAACCAGCCTCTCTTGGATGGCTGAGGGCAGAGGCTAGGGCAGGGCAGACTCTAGAGGCGTGGATACTGGTCATGGGCTAGGGTCACTGAAGCAGGTGTGGTATTCACCCTGGCAAGATGACATTCCATTTCTCTGCTCTTCCAATCTTTGGGATGGGACTTGTGCTGCCAAGTTATAGCCCGGAAGACCCATTAACTCTGCATAAGCAAAAGCCCAAATATATCCCAAGGGCAAGAATGATCAAACTGTAACTGTGTCTGACACAGTTGTTGGCCTTGACTGAGGCCAACAACCAGAGGCTGGGAAGGGAGGTCTGATACCTCTTCCCTCTTGTCCACCAGCCCTCATAACAAACACCAGAGTCACTTCCCTCTTTTTTCAGAGCCTGGTGTCCCGAGGCCTTGATTCAGCTAACCAGTGAGCGTGAGCTTGGGAGGATTCAGAGGCATCGCCAGCGAATTACTGGGGCTTGCTCAGAGACTATATGCAGCAGCAACTACAAGTCTCACCCAGGACACAGAAATATCCCTGAGTGACAGGAGGTGAGGATTCCTGTAGTGAGGCTTGCACTCTGGGGCCAGCACCAGGTGAAGGGGTGACTCTGACAATCAGTGCTAAGATGCCCGGGGCTCACAAGCTAGACTCAGGAGTACGCTGGGTAGCACGCAGCTGGCAGTGCTAATATCTCCCTCTGCCACATTTCATACATCTTCTTAATGTACTGCCTTTTAAAAAGAAAGAACTCCTCTTCAGCGTTCATTCTCGTCAGATTTCCCCTGTATAAAAATACAGAAGAGGGTGCATAAGACTGTTCATGAACCTTGCATCTCTCAGAAGGTCGCCTTTGATATTAAACTTCCAGAAGGAGCACAGAAGTAAAAATCCAAACAGCCTAGTCCTGCCTTTGTGCTATTTACTGCCATATGACTTTGGGCTACTCAAATTTACTTCTTAGAACCTCAGTTTTTCCACCTGTCAATAGGGATTATAATGTTCTGCCTTTACACAGAATTGGGAGTAGTAATTGTTGAAATATTATTTAAATTATAAAACATTTTATACATATAATGGATTATGATTACTATTAGTAATAATTAAATATAAAATTAATATTAAATATAAATTAAATGTTTAAACATTTCATAAATTCACACACAAGAAAATAATCTATATTATAGCAATTATAGAAATTAATATTAAAGTTAAATATTAAATATTTAGTAGTAATCAAAATGTAAAAGCTCAATAAAGCAACAAGTTACAGAATAGGGATAACTGAGTTTGTTTTAGAAATTTACCAGAAATATTAGATATTAAAAAAGAAAGCTCTAAAGGAGACTCCACGAGGCCTGTTAGGTGTCAGAGAAGCATGATCCAATATGCGCAGGAACTGAAACAGAGGCAGCCGAGAGAACCACGTGAGGCGGGCAAGGGCTGGTCTGGGGGGAGCACTCACTTGAAAGGGTGGCCCTCGTCGGTTTTCTGCACAGCTTGTAAAACAGACTTGTAGATGCGGAAACTGATGGTGGCCGAGAGTGCTGCGAGGGCCAGGTAGGCCACGACGCTCACCACGCTGAACTGGGTCAGAGAGAAGAGCAACAGCAGGAAGCTCCCAAACACGATCCCCGTCTGCTTGATGTCCCTCCAGTACAGCAGGTCGATAGCTGCGGGGAGGAGACACACACACAGACACACCGCTTAACTCCGGCAGGGCCGCTCGGGGAGCTGCTGCAGCTCATTCCGTAAAGCCATGGTTGCTACAGGTTCTCACCAGCTTCTGGATTCCTAAACACAAGTGAGTAGACACAGGGCTATTCCCAGGGCACTTACTGCCATTCCATTATGTGTTGGAAGAATCTTTCCCATTACAGAGGATAATCCATAAATTCACAGATAAAGGAAAGGCTGTTGAGTATCCAGTGGCCACATCTCCATGAGCAAATCTCAGTGGGCTATGTCATCTGCACAGTGGCCCAAACTATGTGGCTCTGAAACAAAACTGAAAAAGCAAAGTACTTATTCTCTTCTTTTGGTTGGCATTGATCCCATATATCCTGATGCCCTGCTGACAGTTCAGTGTCTCCATGGTGGCCTGTAGATGTGTCTATCAGTCATGTACATGTTCCTGCTGCTGAGAAGGGGCAGCAACAATGAAACACGTTCTGGAGAAGTGGAGCCTTTAGGAGCATGGCAGCAGGTACAGAAGACCCCAGCCAACGCCACAGGCTTGTGAATAAAGATATGGCCTGCCTCCAAATTGAGCAAAACTGAAAGGTTAGTAGCTGTCTCTAGAAACCCTGGAAGTGACATTTGGATTAAACCATTTTGTACCATGTGATTTGTTCACTTACATTCTGTGACTTAAAAATCTGGAATACAAGTTTCAAAATATACATCACATCTATCACTCAGTTATTTCCCTCTTTCAACTTAGAAACAAAAAGTGAAGTTCAAAAGAATAAGGCCATGGTGCTTCAAATATGATATAAAATGGAAATATTTTGAATATTCCAGTCACCAGATTATGAAAAAAGCACAGAAGACTTGCTGAAGAATGTATGCAAATGTATTCTCCAACTAGGCAAGTAACAAATGATTTTTTGAAGATATAATTGACATATAATATTGTGTAAGTTTAAGGTGTACAACATGGTGACTGGAGATACACATATATATATATATCTATCTCAATGTGATTACCACCATAGCATTAGCTAACTCCTCTATCACATCACATAATTATCATTTCTTTTTCATGGTGAGACCATTTAAGATCAAGTCTCTTCACAACTTTGAAATATATAGTACAGTACTGTTGACCATATTTACTTTGCTGTGCTCCAGGACTTATTTGTCTACTAGTTGCAAGTGTGTACCCTTTGACCACTATCTTCCTAGTTCCCCCACACCCTAACCCTGGTAACCATCATTCTACTCTGTTCCTATGAGTTCAACTTTTTTACATTTCACATATAAATGAGATCATACGGCATTTACCTTCCTCTGTCTGATTTATCTCATTTAGCATAAGGCTCTCAAGGTCTATCCATATTGCAATGACAAATTTTTTTTAAATTGAAGTATAGTCAGTTTACAATGTTGTGTCAATTTCTGGTGTATAGCACAATGTTTCAGTCATACATTAATATATATATATATATATTTGCTTTCATATTCTTTTTCACCATAAGCTACTACAAGATATTGAATATAGTTCCCTATACTATACAGTATAAACTTGTTTATCTATTTTATATATACCAGTAAGTATATGCAAATCTCAAATTCCCAATTTATCCCTTTCCACCCTCTTCCCCCTTGGTTTGTTTACTAAGTCTGTGAGTTTATTTCTGTCTTATATATAAGTTCATTTGTCTTTTTTTTTCTTTTTAGATTCCACATATGAGTGATATTATATGGTATTTTTCTTTCTCTTTCTGTCTTACTTCACATAGAATGACATTCTCCAGGGCCATCCATGTTGCTGCACATGGCATTATTTTATTTTTTATGGCTGAGTAGTATTCCATTATATAAATATACCACAACTTCTTTATCCAGTCATCTGTCAATGGACTTTTAGGTTGTTTCCATGTCTTCGCTATTGTAAACAGTGTTGCTATGAACACTGGGGTGCATGTGTCTGACAAATCGTTTTTATAGAATGCTGTGTCAGTAAATCTTCAGAAAGAGAAAATATGACACAACATTCCCATCTCACAACAAAATGAGACTGGCAGTTGTTTACACTACCAGCTTCATATGCAGTGTACCTGGAGGCACCTGGTTTAAGAATTAGATGCCAGTCTCAAAGGAAAACTGGGGTGACTAGGTTGAAGAGAGCAGGGAACTTCTCCCATCACACTCAGGTAGGTAACTAGCTGAGAGAACAGCACTGAAAAGGTCACAAAGCCTAATGACAATCTGAAACTGTTAAGAGGACACAAGGAACGTTAGGAATGTTGTGGAGTAGATCATTAACCCTCAGCAGCAGACTTTCTCAGGCTGGCTGGAGAGTAAATTAGGGGCTTCAAATAGGAGGGGGGATCTTTTATAACAATCTGAGGATGCCCAAGCAATCCGAAGCTGCAGAGAGAATTTACTTTTGAGCTGACCTGTCTTTCATTCCCACCTACTCCCCACCCACCACTACCTGGTCCACCAATGACATTAACTCACAAAGATTACAGTAGTCAGCTATTTTGTTGGGGAAATTTTTGTTTCCTTTCTTCTACAACACTTCTACAATGCAGGAAACAGCAGAGAGGATCATAGAGTTGGGGTGAAACAGATTTTTCTCTCTTTTGAGTGGTACTAGTTCTAAAAGTAGGTTTCCAAGACCAAAGGAAAAGCACTGCTGCTCCAAAGCTTCTCTCTTCTCCCAGCCCCGATCACCAGTCACATTGACATTCCACTATCAGAATGAATTCCACTTTTTTTGGTCGTCTTTTTTAATGAAAGATCCAAAGACCCAGAAGGGGATAATACATTAAAGATTAGCTAGTCATTAACAACAAAAGAGGGAATGATCTGTGCTAAAGGGGGTTACTCCTCAGGGCTAGGGATAACAGTCTTACCCACCCCTGAGATGAAGTGAAGGGGCACAGGAGACCCTGCAGGTAGTTTTCAGGCAAAGAGAAGATAAAATCTCCTATTTTCAAGTGAATCCCCACTTAACGAATTGCATTAACACCCGTTAAAAATGGTATGGCCTCTAGAAAAGCCTTTTGAATCTCTGTACCTCTGTTCAAACAGCCTGAGAATAATAGGTACCAGGTAGGGGCTTTACCTGAAGAAGCTTTGGGCAGAGAACATTAACAGTTAACTAAATAACATTAGTTTGTTACAGGTCTTTAATCAACATGCTAAAATTGCTAGAGGTTTCTAATTAGGAGGTTAACAAAAGTTTTATCTTAAAACATTAATGAGATGTAGATTCTAGGTAGTCTGTGACATGATTCTCTATTTACACAGATTCTGAAATGCTCAAAGTACTTTCAGGTGTTACTTCACTTAAATCTCACAATAAACTCCATTAGACATGTGTATAACAGGCAAGGAAACTAGAAGTTAAGAAACTTGTATATCGACTAGTTAATTAAATAAGCAAGATCAAATCATAAGTTCAATGTTTTTTTTTCCAAAATAAAACAGTTGCCCCTCTCACATTATGTGATTAGATGTTAAATGATTCCCAGAGTATGCAGAATTAATTTGGGGGCAACCTGATTGTATTTAAATCTGGATTTATCCCTTTCAGAGCTAGAAAATTTATAGTGAATTTTTTTCTTTCAGGGAAATCAAGTCATTATCAACAGTAAAACAGTTATTGGTCATCTCTTTATTTGTTAAGCACAGGAATGAAGAGATCATAAAATTCTGTTCCTGTTCTTAAGGCACTAAAGATCCAGCTGGGAAGACTGGATACTCATTTAAAAAAAATGCTGCATCAATGTCAATATATCTTGTGTTGTCAGAGGTGGCCAAAGCTGAGTTCAAGGAAGGGATAGTCCTTGAATTGATGAAAGAGGATGTGGAATGGTTTGTGAATGAACAATTTGTTAAGGAGATGGGGTGGATAAAGGGAAATATTATGAAGTATTAGTTGACAAGAATGGTGACTAATTAGCTGTGGGAGAAAGAACTAATTAAGGGTGAAAGCAAGGTTTCAAAGCTGGGTGACAGAGTGATTAGCATCACTGACAAAATTAGGAAATCTGAGGGAGAACTGATTTGGGAAAAAGCTGACACCTGTTTTTATACTTCTAGGTTCTGCTGTGATGACATCAAAGCAGGGCATTTTGACACAGCCTGGGGCAGAGATGGGATAGGGATTACAAGTGAAATGAGGCTGACAATAACACACAGCACTTACTAGTTTTTCAGAGTCTTTGAAATATAATGATTTCTTTTTATAGGCTTTGCTACAGTAGCTCTGAGTTAAAATGGCCAGTAATATCATAACCCAATGATATTCATAATGGATGTGTAAGTAGGGAACTGGAAATTCAGGGCTGACATTTAGTTAAGAGGGCTGCATATTCACACTTGGGTGTGTTGTGAGTGGAAATGATGATTGAAGCCATGAGAGCAGAGGAAACCTCCAAGACAGGAGAGACTAAATGGATGCAATCGAGGATGAAACCATAGTTTAGGATTCAAAGAAATGAGTGAAGCTGTAAAATGAGTCCTGTCTGTGTATTAGAAAGGGTCCAACAATAGTGTTGGTTATGGCAGTCAAGAAGAAAGAAACTTAACAGAAGAGAGAGGTAGGCTACAGTGTGGAATGCTGTAGATAAGGGAAATGAGACCTGAGAAAGGATTACTGGTTTTGGAGACTGGGAAGTCACTCATAACCGGGCGGAGAGCGGTGTTAGGTGTTAGGTGAGGATGGAAGCTGTATTGTAAAGGGTTGGGCCCATGGTGGGAGGTTCACAGTAATAAAGAAGATGGTAAAGAGAATGGTATTTTGGGTTGTAATAGCAACAAGTAACCCTTGAGGCTGAGCAAACCTGGGAATGTTGGTGGAAAGGGAGGAGTGAAGATCCTGGAAAGAGCAGATACTTGATTGGGCAAAGTTTCAGAGAAGGCAGGAATGGATAGGACTAGTCACAGCTCTGTCTTTTCAAAGAAGGGAGAAGAGTGAAGGGCTGAGTAAAGATGG